GTCCTCGAAGCTTTGCATTAACCTATTATAATGCCTCATTCAAAGTTGTCACATTAAGGCCTTGGTAAACAAGTAAAGCCTTCATTTTCAATCACAAAGATTAAAAATCATTTTGTACCGTGAACTGCTAATCTCCAAATTGTCAACGCCATTCAATATTCCAATTATTATACACTAATACCATTTTTAAGAACAAGAAGAAATAGGTGAAGAATATCTTTCAAAAATTATTTACTGAAACCCTTGCCAAAATCATTTGTTTCTGCAATCCACGAGTTTCTTGCACTTCACCTACAACCTCCTACCTAAGGAATCAGTTTCTGGACAATAGTCCTTCCCAAAATTCACTTTCAAGATAGCGGCAAATCATCATGCCGACTGCAGCAACATATGAAGTAGGCAGAGACAACAGCCTTAAACGTGAAAGAAAAAACAAGAATAAACAAAAAATAGAATAGGTGAAGTAGGTAAGGCGATTAAAGTTTTTCTCTATTTCAAGACAAAAATTGAACAATATAGAAAGGACAAGAGAAAGAGGAAGAGAAAGAGACAAGAAAGAAAATTTGACTGGAATTTTTCAAAACTTGTAAACAAATCTAAGAAATCCTTGAGTATTTATATAATTGATACAAAAGGCACCACAAAAGAACACAACGAGACAAACAAGATTGTAAATAACTAACCTATGGCTATCCATTAATTAAAAGTTATTTAGTTAACAAAATTTACAAGAAACCAATAGCAAGGTATAAAATCACATTAGTCGATGAGATAAATACTATTAGGAATATTTAAATTTATCAATGATTTGAAATTTTTCCTTAAGAAAATATAATGTAAGATTACTGATAAGTTGAGGTTTGCATCAAAATTAGAGGGACATACTCAAACATTTTGGAAAAGTATTGTTACAAAATTGATATGGATGATATGACAAATAGAATTATGGGCCTTTTAGGGTGGCTATTGCTTTTTTTAAGGGGGTTGTAAATTTATTGTGGGGGATTAAACTTTTCTAAAAGCTAATGTGAACATTACAAATACTTTCTTCCTAAAAAACCAAACATCAACTTTCTTACAACAACCACATCTAGCAGATCTGATTTTAAAAGATTGGTTCCCATCATAAAAACTCTAAAAAGAAAGTAGTGGCCGAATAAAAAAATGGCAGCGGTTTATAAAACAAAGTAGTTAAAGATTGCCCAAAATAGACCCTTAAAAGAGTAATACTTATCATTTGAAAAGTAAGGACCAACAGAGAAACCAATTTAAGGATTGTTAACAAATTAAATAGAGTTTTAATATTATGCATCTTGTGACTAAACAATATTTGTTTTTAGATTATTTTATTTCATAAAGGTATTAAGTGAAAAAATTAGGATAAATTAAACTATAATTCACCTATAACATTGGATGAGGCTTTTGTTAGGAAACACTTGGATTTCCAAGTGTTTCTCACCAAAACCAAGTAGATCCAATGTAAAACTGCTGTCCACAGCAGAAATCAGCCAAGAAACAGTGGGAAAATAGCAAATCGGAGAGAAAACCGTGGAGAAAAGACTTGTATTTTTACTAATAGATGAAACAGAATAGAAAAGATACAATTGATCCTCAATTCGAGAGGAGGATCGATCTCTCCCAAATCTCTAGACGCCGCTAGAGCCCAAAGAAACCTAAATCTAAGAGATCTCAAATTTCAGCCAAATTCAAGATGCCCAAACCCTAGCCAAATCAATTATTTAATGCATACAATTCAAAAGGAATTCCCTAAACAGTCCCTGCAATCAATTTCCCTCCTAAACTTCCTCAAATTTCCTTCCCGAAACCGTCCCGCAAGACGTGCGTCTCGCGTGCGGCTTCCGCCCAGGCGGAGCTGTTTCGCGATTTTGCCCGTGAACCGGTCCCGCCTGGACCGGCTGGACCGGTCTAACAGCTTTATACATAGCATTAGACATTTAGGGACATTAGGACATTAGAATCTATCTAATTGGACTCATATATGGTTAAGTTGATCAAATCAAAGAAATGATTTTCATGAGTATTTGTTAGAGAATATTTTAGATGTAGAAAATGATTTGTAATTATAATCCAAAGCTACATATGATAATTTTGAATATGAACCTACATCTATAATAGCCTATGTTCATAATCTTGAATATATGCTTGGTCAATAGTCAAATTTGAAATTGATATAGAGCATGGAATCAATTCTGAATTAGAACTTCTGCTGGGAATTGAGTTTATATTGATTGTAAAACTAAAAAAATATAAATTAATTGAGAATTTTGAGAATATAATTTTGCATGAATTAAATGTTGAAATTAGCCTTGATTTGAATGATAAAGCTGATATTAATTTTTTCTTTGATTTTTGTATACCAAATTCATTAAAGAAATCTTATAGAAAAAGTTATGACAAAATTTCAAGAAATTTATTAGTAAGTAATGCATTAAAAGAAATTTAAATTTCATTCTCTTGGTAAATAATAAAAGTGTATAATTTATCAAAACTCATATTTAGATTATTTAGATTAATTTTCTTGAAGAGGTTATGCATCCACATATAAATATCATAATTGCACGGTATGTATGTGTTTAGTTTATTTATCATCTCATATTCTATGAATTAGTTTTAAGTCAATGATAGTATTTTAAGTACTCATATTAATTTCTTAGCATTTCATTGTTTACCTCAATCATTTGAATGATTTTCTAGCTTGCATAAGAATATTCACAAAAAAAAGGGTTAACTATGAAAATTATAGCTCTATTGTTGATGTGAAAAGAAGACATGCAGAATTTAAATTTGATGATGAAGTCAAGGTGTATTTAAATTTAAAAAGGCCTCCATTAAGAAATTTTTTTAAGAAATTAAAAGCACGAAAGGTTATGACTGTTTAAATTTTTGCAACTCATTTGAACTAATGCCTAAAATTGAAAATTCTAATATTAATTCAAGTGAATCTGATTGACTTATTTCCGATGTGATGAGAAGTATACTCCAGGACACAGGTGTAGGGATCAAACTTTTCAGGTTCTCACCGTCTGTGATGATGAGGAAACTGAGATAGGTGAGAGAGAGATGGATGATAAGTTGCATCTGGATGTGGAGGAGGTCTCCCTGAATTAAGAAGTAGGATTCACTTCAAATTATACGATGAAGGTAAAGGGGGAACTAGCTGTCAGGTTGGGTCGACTACCTCCTCTAAGTAAACCAGGGATCATGATGGCCCAGGACGACGAAACCATGAGATCTTGATCGGGTCCATCATCCATTCCCCCACCATTTGCTTTAAGTGTAAGATGGTGAAATTTCTAATTTAAAATATTAAATTTCCAATTCTTAAATCCATGCTATCCATGTTTGATATTTGATGAGCATACCCTTGTATTTTTCATGCATGGGTAAGGGAAATAAACAAAATTAGCAAAAGCCTTTTAAACCCAATAGTTGGAGCCAATAATTCCTAACTTGTAAGTTTATAATCCCTTTAAACTTTCTTTTCCAAAAACAATCATAATATATTTGAGTTAAACTGTGATCAAATGATTAAATTCATACCATAACTTAAAGGTAAAAGCTAGAGATCAAAATCTAATGGTTTAATTTACATGATCTATGCATTTTTATTACAATTTCATTAGGTTCCAAATCATGTTGCATGGGGCATGCTATGTTGTAGCATAAGTTAACTAAGTTTTGACTATACTTCAATAATAAACTTGGAGACTATGATCAATTAGACTTTACCAAGCTAATTAGAGATCAATTAGACTTTACGAAGCTAGTTAGTCAAAGATCAATGAGACTATGATCAATTAAGAAATTATGATGTTTTATAAGCTTTATTGGGGCTAGATAAAAGTTAATTAACACAAACTGCTTCATTAAAACTTAGTTTAAATAGGATAATTATTGATCCATTGGACTTTATTAGTTAATCAGTCAAAGATTGATGCGACTAAATTTAATTATCAATTAACAAAAGATTAAGATGCTAACTTAAATTAACAAGAATCCTGATGAGGTAAAATTGTGTTTGATAAGATAGATTTAGTGTAAACTAGACTTGATTTAAACTAATAAGTAAAAAGGTAATCATTTAATAGAATAATTTGCAATTTATATGAGGTTAATAACTAAGCTAAATAAAAAGAATTATGTTTAATTAAGTCAATTGGAACTTAATTTGTCAAGAAGTGATTAATTGAAGTAATCAAGCTTATCAATCACTAATTTAGTATGGTATTTAATTAAAATAACTAGCAATTAATGAATTACAAGGATGTAGATCTTATTATGACTTGGTAGCTTGAATTTTTATTGAACAATTAGATTTCAATGAGCAGAACGAGACTTGCATTAGCTTGAATTTAGTAAGTTCGTACCAAGGTTGGATTTGGCAAATCCATTAAATTAGGTGAACGAGGATTTACACAATCTCCTTATCAATAAACTCCTTAGATGTTTATTTCTAGATCCTAAACATCATTTTTAACATCAAAATCCCAAGTAACAAACAAAAAACGTAATTGCATAATTTTTTTTTTTTGGAAATTTTGAAAACCATAAACAGACAAAGTGAATTGTGAACCAGATGACGTATATTAATATACTGCAATAACCCAAGTGCAATTTTCCCTTTCACAAAAGATAGCTTGGAAACTATACAATCCCAAGACAAAAGCATACCATGATTAATAGATGAGAAGTGCATGGCACCTTTATTTCTGATGAACTGACCAAAATAAATGTAACACACAACTATTATATACATCCCCTAGTCAGCTAAGTGTCGTAGTCACCAGAGCAAAAATAGAAAACATTTCTAGCATATAGCAATTCATTTAAAAGCAATGACAAAGAAGGCATATCTTAACAGGTCCCAAAAGAATATCAAACTATCAGACAGGGCATATCAAAATCTAACGACAAGACGAGACAAAAAAATTATGAAAACGGACACAGCATAACAAAAAGGAATAAAGAAAAACCAGCACCTTCAAAAAGCGGCCCCTTTTATTTTCACCAACGTCAAAGTAAAACACCTAATCATCAAAACCGGAGAACACACATCAGATATCCCAGCAACAGAAAAACCAAAGGTAAAATAAATAAAAATCCTAGAGCACAGGGAAAGATTTAAACCTTGGTGTCAAGCTTTAGCTCCTTGCTGAATATGTCACGCTCATCCGTGTTGACGTAGTAGTTGAAGAGATCCAGGAACCATACAATACCGTTGACAGGGACAATGATGGTTGATCTTGTCGCCGAGGTCTTCTCCGAGATCTTGAGGTACCGACCCCGGGGATTCTCCTTCAGATCAAAATAGAAAAGCTTGTGCTCGAACTGCAGCGTCTTGCACATCAGCTCCATGTCTCCACCTCCCGCCGCCCCATCCATCTTTCCCTTTATTCACAGCCAGCAAACTGGTAACAGAGTAAGTAAAGGAAAACCCTAACCCCACCTCAATGGAAACCCCACGGGTAAGAAGTCGGGGGGGTTAATTCGGGAAGGAGGCACACAAGTGGCGGAGAACGAAGGGGATGGAGTGCGAATTAGGGTTGGGCTTATGTCTAAAGGAGGAAGGCGGCTTGAGGAATGGCGCCATGAAGTTTGACCGGAGGCCATTGTTCGCACTCGTTTCGGCCCTTTTTAACGACCTCGCCCTCTGTCACCCGTTCCTCTGCCCGTCTTTCTCTCTCTACCGAACAAATCGGCAGCAAAATTTTTCCACCGCGAGATGGCGATTTCTTATGTTTTTCACCGCCTTCCTCTGCTGGCTTCCGCTGGTAAAAGTAGTTAACAATGCGGCCGGGGTAACCTTCGCGGCAACTAAACTGTTAATATTGGGCTTCTGAAAGCACATTTACATATATTATTGGACCTTATCATTGGGAAATATAATGATTCTAATAGGAGAGCCCAATGTATAGGAAACAAAATGAAAATAAATCTTAAAATTATTAAATATATAAATAATTAATTAAATTTATTCTGCCTTTTTTAAAATAAATTAAATTACTTTTTGTTTCATCTTAATCAAATCGATACTAACAAGTGATAGTTTCACATGTTCATTTTGTTACTTCTTAAATATGATATTGCATTTCATTATGACTTTTAATTTAAAAAATTTGGATTAAATATGAATACTTTTGAATCTATTTGGATGAAATCAATTTGAAAATATTTTGCATAATTCAATTGGGGCATATTTGAAGAATTTCATCTAAAATTTAAAATTTTTAGTATAATTTTGAACGAAGCATTAGAGCTCGCCTAAAATTTATAGATTTTAAACCGTTTTACTTTAAATCTTAAACAATCATTAGAAATCTCCTAAAATTTCATCACTAAGACTTATAAAATTGCATTAGAATTCTTCACAGATGGACGAGAGCCCAAAGTAGTAGCATTATCCACTTTCAATGATCTACCAAACAACAACCCCAAGTCATGAAGGATACGAGGGGAGAAGAAGTGAGGGCGCAAGTTGGGAAAAGATATCCAAATGGGAATAATGGGAGATTCGGCACCAATATCGTCTAAGGGAGACAATTTGGTAAGTTTCATGAAGCAATTATAAACCAAATATGATCTATGACAAAAAAACTCTACTATAATCAAGATCATTTTCCAAGTTGATAAGATCATGAGATCGATCCAACAAAGTAACCAAGAATTCACCATTAAACTTAAGGTTGAAAAAAAAAATCTCTTAATCGAGGCAAGACTAAGACAGCGAGATGGCAAAAAACAAACTAAAGCAAACTTAAAAGGCTCGGCTAGGGCAAAAAATTCCTCATCTGAAACCCACAAAGCAGGTAAACCACAAAAAGTTGTATGCTTAAGGTCGAGTTAACAACTAGAAGAAGAAGACCCAGATAATGCATCAAGGAACGAACGGGATTTAGTAGATCATGCTAAACAATCAGGATTGACGAGTCGATTCACCTCCATTCCGACAAAGGACGAACCAACAATAAAAACATAGAAAGAAAATGAAGAATAAGGGAAGAGAACTCCCCTCGGCGCGAACAAACGACCATGGGAGACGGCTCTAGGCGCGAGAGCGACGGCAAGAGGCTACAGGGCGAAGCCCTAGTACACCCCAGAAACATTGAGAGTAAAAAATAGGGCTCCCACCATTCTTATGCTTATCGATGGCTATAAATAAGCCTCTTTCGAGATATTAAGGCATTAAGAAATATGTGAGATCTACTCGAAGATAAGGCTTTTTTTTTTCCTATTGATTCTATCATTAGTTTTGGAGAGATTATTCTGCGCGGTGTTCGAACGCATCCGGAGGTCAATTTAGATGCGCCACATCATCCAATGCACTGTTCATTGGGTGATGTGGCACATCTGGATTAGCCTCCTGACGCATCCATATATCGCACGTAATAATTTTTCATAATTTTGATCCCTTTTCCTACTTTCTACCAAGAGCTATAGACAACTATAATTATCTACATTGCAAAATATTAATTTTTTTCCAACATTTTTGTGATGTGTTTGATCCATGATCTAATACTTGCACCAATTGCTAGCAAAGTTGACTGAGGAAAGATAATATGAGTATAAAGCTTCGAAGAGGACAAAAGATTTGAGATTTAAGTTTCGTTTGTGATGGCTTTCTTACTACTTCTTAAAGCAGTTTTTTAGAATGAAAGTTTAAGTTTTTTTACTAAAACATTGCTTCAGGAAGCAGTAAGAAAGTCGTCACAAACAAAACCTTAGGTTGAGCCTCATGAATCCATGAAAGAGTATGTACTAACACAAAAGAAGAAATCAATAATTAAGTTATCGGTAAATGTTTTCAGATCTCAATATATATCTTACTATGAATATAGGCTTACTAATCGCTCTAAAGTATATCTCAATAATCTTATGTACACTAATAGAATTAGCTCTTAAACATAGATCTCCAATGATAAAAAATATAAAAAGTAATTAATCAAAACTCAAAATATATTGCTCGCAATCTTTGTAAGCATAGAGAGACTATTATATGCGGAGTCTGGACCTAAAGAATCATTCGGTTGTGTGACTGTGAAAAGTAAAAGCACAGTTATTGTGCATAACTGTGCTTTTACTGTTCAGTGTTCACAGTCACTAAACCGAACGGTTATCTAGATCCGGAGTTCACGTGTAATAATCTCTCGTAAGCATGAGATAACAAAACAACAAGGAGAAACATGGATCTTTAAATAATATTTAGCCAAATATGAGGAAATGTAAATATTTATGAACAAATTGAGCACAAAAAACCAATCCAGGAAAAGTAGAATGAAAATAATAATAATAATCCAGTAGCACAAAACAAAGTTTAACTTTACGAACCACAACTGTATCATTTGTGAACTTTCTCGGGGCTGATTTGGTTGCTTTTGAAAATATATAAATTTATTAGATTATTTTTATTCAAGTTAATGTATGTATGTTGAGCTATACGAATATTTTTAGACTTCTTTTGATGATTTTATTTTCATATAAAAAATGAGGGAAAGAATATCATAAATTTTTAGAACAAGTTTTATATCTACAAGCAACCAAAAGAGCCCCAATTTGAATAAGGAATCTGGTAATCTACTTGCCAAGGGAATTTATAAGAAAAATAAAGTTTCATTATGGTTTTTCTCTCTTTTTTAAAGATTATATGAAGAAAGCATTTGTTAGATCTATATGGTGCTAATTTTGTGTGGAATTTGATTGGGTCGATCAATGAGGTTGTATAATTGATTCAGACCTCAATTTTGTCGGTAATGCTCTTCGAAGGTTGCAGGGGGATCTTCCTCAACTTGGATTCGAGGGCTTGTCCCATGAAAAAAAAAAAAAACGTCCCCATACAAATCATATAACATTGCGGTGTTATACACTTGTGCTGTCTTGGAGACATAAAACGGAGTGCCATTATGCTCCAAACGTCGGCGTTGCAGCGCTACTAGTCTAACTGGAGACAAAGAGTGAAGCACCACAGCTTTTCGAGCCAGGTTAGACAATTTTCTCTCATTTTTTTCATGTTTACTCAAAGACTTGCGTCTCTTGGGGTGATTTTACGTTTGTCTATTTGTCAGTTATCTAGGAGAACGGTGCAAGAATGAAGAGAGACAACAAGAGAGAGAGAGAAATATATTTCTACAATTTCTCTCAATTTTCAGAATGGATTTCTTGGTATGAAGTGGCTTCATGGATTTATCCCAACTTTGAATTTTTCTACGTTAAACCTGTTGTTATTTCTTATCCACTGTATTTTCTATTCATTGTTTTCGCTATGTGGTTTTACTTCCCCAAAATACGGCTCCCATAAACTAACACAATTTAATTTGAGGCTAAAAGTAACATGGCATCATTAATTAAAACTATGACATAATCTTTCGTTGGAGATTCTATGTGAAGGAATGATGAGAAAGTTCTATCAATCATAATAAAAGTTATGCATAGAGGGAGATCTTACAATGACAAAGTTATGAAAAGAACAAAAGGAAAGGAGGGTAGCAAACCAAAGAAGCAGCACCAGAAAATGATTAAACAAAGTTCCTTCCTAATCTTTGCTATAAGAATCATCAAAGATCTTTGAAAATAATATTAAATATCATCCGTTTGCATCATTCTATTTTTTTTATTCATTGTTTGTCTGCTATGTAAACAGGAACAAATATCTTAAAAGATTTTCTTCTTTTTTTTCTTCTTTATATCATTTTATGAAAGCAAAAGATATCTGCTTAGTCTATCTCCAACCAAACAACATTCTCCGATTTGCAGTAGTCATAACTGTCCAACGGAACAACAAATTGAATGTCCTTTTAAACAATTTGACGTCAATATCGGCGTCGCACTGCTCACAACGAAGGAAAAATGCAAAATTCGTTTCTGTTTGGCGTTGGGATGGGGACTTGCAGCAACTACAAAGAGGCGATATGCGAATGACTTTTAGTTTGATTGGAAACAGAACACAGCTCTTGTCACGACCCGACCCGATCCTGATTTCGTCCAGACGAACCATACAGCCAAACATGATTTTCTCTGCACAACCTGTACCGATCGTCCCGGACGATCCGACTTCGTCCGGACGAACCTGGAGCAAAAACTGATATTACAGCTCTCCTCCAACGTTAATAAGCAGCATTTAATAAAATAGCATCGCTTACAAAAAAAAGAAAACAGCAGCTCTCAGAAAACATCAATAAGCAATTATCAAAATCAGTCTATCACATTCTCCAATATCTATTCGACTAATGTTTTGTAATGGTGTACTCTAATGCAATGTTGATATATATTTGTCACTAAGGCTTCGTTTGAGACGATTTTTTTATTTTATTAAAATTCTATTTTAAAAAGTAATAAAAAGTCATCTCAAACGAAGCCTAAATATTATTACAAAACAATTGCTAGGGTTTTGCCTCTTCTTGAGCCAGAGGCTTCCCAGTTTTACGATTTTTTTATGATCTATTGATGCCAAATTTTGATGATGATGAAGAATGCTATGGGTGCTTCAGAGGGACCTTAGGATGGTCATCGTGGCAACCAGTAGGAGTCTTAGGTTTCGTTTATGATGACTTTCTTATGACTTTTTAAAGCAGCTTTTCAGTAAAAAATTAAAATTAAAATTTTTGTACTAAAAACTATTCTAAGAAGCAATAAAAAGCCATCCCAAATGAAGCCTTAGATTGCCCATTTGGCAACCTGGGGGCTACATTAATTCGTACAAGCACGTAATCTGGGTTTAATTTTTTGGGGCATTCTGAGTCATGAATTTGTATTCCAGAGGCCCTTTTGGCCTTTGTAGTTTCCTTTTGGTGTTAGATTGGTTTGTACCTTTCTTTCACTGATTTCTCTTCTCCCATTTTTGAAGCTGTATTTTGCTTTTATTCTTTTGGGTTGTAATTTTTCATTATATGGATGAAATGATGTTGGGTTATGCCCTTAATTTTCCCAAAAAAATATTTGCAATGAATGGTTGGGATGTTCCTTATCCTGAACCAAAAAAGGGTTGATTAGACGGCGTGGACAAATAGAAACTAAAGGTGATTGAAACTATCCTTGTTTTTTAATGTAAAGGGGTGTGTAAAAAAATCCAGAATAGAGGTGGAAACAAATTAGTCTGAGTCGAGTCGAGTAAAAATCAAGCTATGTTTATTTAGTTTTAACTATGCTCGAGCTCGGCTCGTTAAAAAGTTTATCGACTCAAGCTCGATTGAAAAGCTCGAGCTTGACTCGATTATTTAGTTTTGCATTAACATTTTTATTTTTTTAGGATTTTATTTTTAATATAGAATTAATTAAAAAGATTAAAATATATTATGTAATAGTAATTTAAATTCATTTTAAATATATATTTTTTAAATTAATCGAGCAGCTCAACGAGTTTATGAGTTGAGCAAGACTGAGCTCTACCTAAGTATATGCAAGAGCTCGAACTTGTGGCTTGATAAACTTGACTCGTGAGCTCGTTAACGAGTCGAGCTCGAACTAACTCGGCTCACTTACACCCAACTCTCACTTGTAATCTGACTGATGTTGCAACCCATTACATTAAAAGGAAAAATACAACCTATAATTAAAAATATACATTTTAAATATAAATTTGTTTGAATATATATATCATCATATAATTATATAGTTTTATTCCTCAACTAATAATCTCCCATTATATTTCGATCTCATTATAATTGACTTAAGCATTCATGTGTCAAATAAATAAAGTCACCACACAATCACATGAAGCCTCAAGGCATCCCTTCAACCACCACCTGCCATGCTTTTACACTTGTTATACTCAAAGTAGATATAGCTCTCTCTCTCGCTCTCTCTGCCCACAAATCCTTTTCCCTCATGTGAACTATACTAATTATCCACCTCTTCATTCACTTCCTTCACGTTCTGAAATAAAATCACCATCCCTCTCTTATACCACCCCAAGCCTCACCTGTCCATCCATCACTTCCACCACACACCAATGAAGGATCTGTCCTTCTTCATCCTCAAGAACTCTCTTTCTGCCAAGATGAAGAAAGGCATCCAAAGCTTCTGCAACAACAACGCATCAACCTCCACACTTTGCCAAAGCAGCAACAAAGGCAGTGAAGAGACCCGAAAGTCACGAACTTTAGAAGAGATGATAGTGCAACTCGAAATCGAGGAAGAAGAGGCAAGGAGATCCAAGCTAGACGATCTCCAAGATGTCCCCAGGAGAATGTCATGTGTCGATAGCATAGACATCATGAAATCTGCAAGAAATGCTCTTAATCAATATCCCAGATTCTCATTAGATGGCAGAGACGCTATGTACCGATCTTCCTTCAGAAATTTTGTGGACGGAAGGAAGTCATTTTGCGGCGGCGGCAGCAGAACTCGAATGCCGCCGACGTTGGCAGGGGAGAGAGTGGTTTGGTGCAAGCCAGGAGTGGTGGCAAAGCTGATGGGATTGGATGCGGTTCCTGTGCCTGTGGGGAGAGAAGGTGGGAGGTTCAATAATGGAGGTTTTTTGAGCAAGAAGGAGAATTTAAGGAGGATGGGGAAGTTGGAGCTGGAGAAGGAGCGGATAAGTTTGAATCTGAAGAGCAGGAAGGGGATGAGCAGAGAAGATTTGGATAGGTGCTTGGGACTGGAATCAGTTCATGTTCATTCATTTGTGGGTAAAACTGATTGGCAGATTAGGAGGACTCAATAGGTTTTTGTTAACTTTGGCTATCTAAGTGTGTATTAACAGAGTCTCAGAAACAAATATGGAAAAATTTGTATGATCTTCGGGTATTCAGATTACTGCATTGCATTATAGAACATGTTTAAGTTGATTTCTTATTCAATTGTAAGAGAAACTTTTATTCATGGAAAAAGACTCATCAAGCGACAAGTTTTATCTGAACTCCTTAAGAGTATTGCAAATTCTTTTGATAAAATGGTAGCTTGGAAAAATGATTATACACAGATAGAGAAGAAGTTTCTGCCAAAATTTCAAGAAAATTGCGAAGTTGTTCGATAAAATCAAAGCAAAAGAATCGGAGAACAAAACAAGCAATATGGGGATAACTGAATTGTATGCATGAGTAAATTTCTTAATCCAGATGTTCATTAGGCAAAGCAAAGTTGCTTATCATTTCAATATTCTAAGGCTTCATTTTGGACAGTTCTTTTAGTATTTTAAGCAGTTTTTTATCACAAATTTTTTTATTTGAAAAATTTATACTAGAAAGCAGTTTTATAAAGCATGAGAAAGTTGTCTCAAATGAAGCCTAAGAGCGGCTTTTTTATTGCTTTCAAAAGCAGTTTATTTGTACAAAATTTTTTAAAAGTTAGGCTTTATTTGTGATGACTTTATTACTGCTTTTTGAAATGTTTTTTAGTATAAATTTTTTAAACTAAAAATTTTTATACTAAAAAGTTACTTTTGAAAGCATTAAGAAAGCTATCACAAATAAAACCTAAGGCTTTGTTTGGGACGGCTTTCATATCGCATCTTGAAGCGGCTTTCTAGTACAAAAACTTTAATTTTTGTACTTAAAAACCGTTTCAATAAGCAATAAGAAAGCCGTCCCCAAATGAAGCTTCTCTTGGTATGGCTTTCTTACTGCTTTTTAAGGCAGCTTTTTAGTTAAAAAATAAAAAATCTTATACTAAATTTTTTTTAAAGAAGCATAAAAAAAGGCGCTCCAAACGAAGCCTAAATCTCTAATAAAAATTTAAAGAGCAATTCACCCTTTGACATTTTGGAGAACATGCAATAGGAACAATGGTTTAGTAATAGTTCAACAACTTGCCTACATTCATAAGAGGCAACAAATTTATCATAAACATAAAAAAAAGCAGCAGAATTTCTCCCAAAATTCTCACATATATATTTTAAAAGTTTGAAGAGTTATTTATGAGATGATGAACAAAAGAGTTTTACTTGAATTTCAATAAGAAGCAGAGCATCTCCAAACATCAATAATCAATAATCAATGAAGACTTTGGTGATGGCAAAATTTACCAGCCAACTTCTTGAGTCAAACAAATATTTTGTTTTTGCTCTCTTTAGCTATTATCTCCTGTGCTCAGACCTCACAATTGAAATATTTCTACTGTATGATGGAGATATTTGTTCTTTCACAATAACAGATTATTGATAGCAGACAACACACACAGGTGTGTAGGTCCCCTGCTGCTGGATCTCGGAAAGCTCCATGCCATGCACGTCGACCCCAATTGGCTTGTCTTTTCATCACAATTTGAATAACAGGACATCATTGATCTATATATGCAGCCCTGCAAGATCATCTTTTTGGCTTTTGCCTCTCCTTGCAAGTCCAAGAAGAAATTTATATAAGATCCTAAGGTTGATTGCAAATTTTTTAAGTTAAATAGGCCTGCTGCAAATTATTCTCATTGTAAAATTGGTTATTAAAACGGTAGTATGATTATCAGTAAGTTTAATTTTGTTAATGAGATTATCATTATAATAATGATATTTTTTATTATATTTAAATGAGAATTTGACTCTTAGTAGAATACAATTGAGAAAGATATTTATATAGCCGACATCACATAGTTGGGTAAAGACATGATGTTATTATAAGGATGATGGTGGTAGTGAGCAGATTGCAAATGGGCTCAGAAAGAAGGTCATAACGCATAATAGGTAGTAGTGATTAGGATTTGGGCTTTGGGGTGGCTATATGATTTGGGTCAAGATGTGTGTGATGGGAGTTTCAAATGGGAGTAAATAGAGTTTCATTGGCTTTAGCAATGAGGGCAAAAATTGAATGTTATGATATTCGAATTAGACATTAAGAAAATTTAATGCAAGTTGAACTAGGGGTTAAACATGATAATATAATTACTATTTAAATTATGGCCACACATTTATATATTACTTAAAATTTGTATATAAATATTTGCTCTTAGAGGAGTTTGAATTTGATGTATAATGAGATGTCATGTTACGACCTGACCCGATATGACCCGACCCAACCTCCCAAGTCTTATCATGCCAAATTGTGGCAAGAAGCAGAAATGAACCCCAAGATCTAGCTGGTGCTGAAAAACTAAACTTTCAATTTATACATACGACACAGAGTCACTACTGAATATAATATAAAGTGGAAGATTACTAATTCTAAAAAATAATTTTGCCCAAAATATTTGTACAATCTGATGTCTATCTATAACAGCACCTGAAAACTGAAAAGTACAACAATAATAAAAGCCAAAATTTTAAAAGGAAAATCAACCAAAAAGTATACCTATATCACATATCAGAGGCTGCTATCAAAACTACTCAGCTCGCTCATTACCCTTTCCTTAGCTTAAAAATGAAGTATAAGTTAGAGTGAGCTAACACGGCTTAGTAGGCTATGGAATATAAATAAATATTTCATAGTAATTATCATAATGATTCTCAAGGCCCAATTTCTCATATATAACAATTAAGAGAATCCCTTCTTGCCTTCAACAGAATCCCTTCTTAATAAATATAGCCCTTAGTCTCTAGAATTTTCAACACATAATAAATAATAGAATTCCTCATAAGCACGAACAAAATCACTTCTCACCACAAACATAATTCCTTCTTAGGGAATATCATAATAGCCATCGGGCTTAAAAAAATAAAATAAAATAATAGCCCTCGGGTTTCAAAGTTTCCACTACAGGAAAAACGCTGAAAACCGGCGGTTAGTCAAAGTTTTGGACTGGGGTCGGCGGCGGTCGGACTGGGGTCGGCGGCGGTCGGAGTTCTTTCGTCGGGGGCTGATCGGACGAGCGGAGGACACGGTACAGCGAGCGACCGAGAGAGAGAAGGAAAGAGTGAAAATGAAATGAGCGGAGCGAGGCGGCTCGTATTAGGGCTTTTACCGGTGGCGTTTTCCCGGCGGTCCGACGTACGCCGGAAAAAATCACGTATCAACTGGCGGTTTAGACGCGCGGTAAACGCCCGGTTATATTGATGTCGGCGGTTTATAGACCGTTGGTATCCGGCAGTGTATCGTAGCTAAGCCGCCGGTTTGGCCGTCGTTAGAGTCAGACGGCTAGACCGCCGGTAATAAGACGGTCACCTAAACGCCGGTGGCAAACCGCCGTAATTTGACATTTTTCTGTAGTGTTCTATAACACATAATTAGACAAAAATTATATCTCTTCGCCAACAGAATCTCTTTTCTCCACAAACAGAACTCCACATTTAATCAATATACACTATAGGGCTGCAAACGACCGAAGCCGAGTCGAGTATGTGAGTGTTATGCTTTGTGTTCATTTAATTATAGCTTGTTCAAGTTTGGTTATGTTTGTTCGAGCTTTAGATTGTGTGTTCATGTTGTTCATTTAAATTAGAGGGTGTTCATGTTCGGTTTTCATGTTCAGTTCAGTTTCAGTTTGTTCGTTTAGTGTTTATCGAGCTTGTTCGCGGAACATATTTTAACGAATTTTTTTTAACTATCAAACAAACACGTTTTCATGAACATATCTTGAACAACACAATTTATTAATAAAAAATAATTGGTCTAATATAAACAAAGGTATTGATTAATTTATTATTATTTATTAATTCTAATATTTAATATTAATTGTTTTTATCGAGCTTATTCATGAGTTCCCAAAATCGAACACGACGAATTCGAGCTTTTTTAATTGAGGCTTCTTATCGAGTTTAATGTCCACTTGTTCACGAACTTCAAATGATGTTGTTCGCGAACATAAATGAGCCGAACGCATTAGTGTTCAAGTTTGTTTATTTAAGAATCGAGTATTTAAAATATTGTTCAAGTTTGTTTGTTTAGTTAATTAAACGATCTCAAACGAGCTTTAATCGAACCGAACATCGAGTAGCTCGTCGAACGTTTGGTTCGCTTGCAGCCCTATACACATATTTCAATGCATTACGGTTAATAAAGTATAATTAAACTAAATTCAGAACTTGCCAACATGACTTAATAGTAGGCAACAGAAAAATCTATTGTGCATACATTCATATTTTCAGAAAATAATCAAATTACAAGAGATTGTGTAAAAGAGCATTCTGAAGCTTTGATTGAACTAAATTATTATTTTTAGATGTCAAAATAAATTTCTGAATTAATAAAAATCATCCGACAAAAAATCTTGAATAAAACTCAACATGACCATAATAATCACATCAACAACATATCAAAAGTTATGTAAATAAAATTTATTAGAATCCGAGAAAGCTACATTTTTATAAAACTAAATTATAATTTCCATCAGAAAAATTCTAAAAAAACTTTGAATTATTAAAAGTTGAGATATACTATACATAACTTACTTTAACTTAAGCAACTTTTTGAACTGGCCCGACAATTGAAAATGACCAAAAGCCATCCAAAACGGACTCTCTCTCTAAAAATCTCTCTTCTTCTCTCTCTAGTCTCTAGCACCAAATGTTCGAATAGATCAAATGACAAAACATTGGATTTAGATTTTTTAAAAATGCAGAATTTGGCCCAATGCATTAGTGCCACTGTTCCAGCACTAGTGCACGATAAAACACACCACCGGGGCCTTCTAGGAGAAAATTTTAGATATGCATTCAAACCCCTAGAACTCACTTCAAAACACATGTAAATATTTTTCATGCACACAGATCATACTCACACATGCAAAATAGTTGAAATGCAAAAATTCAATAGATTACCTAACTTTTAGTCGAATTAGATCGATTTGAAGAGTGCTTTGATCCTAAAGGCATTACAAGTCAAACCAATGAAAATATGAGAAAATAGGGATCTTTATACATTGTACTTAAAACTTAATCATATACATATTTAACACATGAAATTTGCTATTTATATAATATACGACCCTCCTAGCTCTATTAACAATTATGAAACCCCAAATGCTAGTTGGAGACGAGGAGTTTGAGATGATGATCTCATTAAAGAACATCGTGATGGAGATCTCATTGGAAGAAAGTTATAATGGATCTTGCATCGATGAGATCATGAGACAGAGGACATGCATGTAAAGCTAGGTAAGGGACTGATAGCTTGTGAAGGTGGCGATGGGATCAAGAACCTATGAAGGTGGCGACAAGAAGAACTTGTGCAAAAATGAAGAAGCCATGA